ATGTAGTAATTCCATAGGGATTGTGAAGGCATACAGCAGTAAATGTGTAAGCATTGTGTAGTTATTCAATAATAAATGTGAAGGAATGAGTAGTGATTATATAGTAATTTCCCAAAATCCAATAGTGAGACAGAAGTGATTAAGTAGCAATTGTGCAGGGATTTGAATAGGCATCATGTAGTAATTGTCAGTAGTGATCAGTAGTGAAATCACCCAATACATTACTCATTACTATTCAAATCACTACACAGCTCAATAGCAATCAAGTAGTGAAACAGTAGTTTTTGTGTAGGTATTAAGTAGTAGTGATGAGTAGTGATTCAGCAGTGTTTTTTCATGAGGGTCCGTTAGCTATACCTGTTTATCCAGTGGCTCACGAGGGACTGGAGCCGATGCCTGCGGACTTTGGGTGAGAGGTGAGGTACTCCCTGCAGGGGTCGCCAGTTTATCACAGGGCTGACACATAGAGACAGACAACACTTAAACCTTTCTGTTATTATCTCAGAAACATGGCTGAAGTGAAATCAAAGCACATATTAAATAGATTTTTACAATGTGCCGCTAATGCAAAAGAAACTAACAAAAAGCAAGAAGTTGAGCCACAAAGTTAAATAAAAATGAAGACAAGAAAAATAAGGTTGTTTACAGTATCAAATGTTTTTTTATTTGCCAACACAGATACAGCATAAATATGACAAACCTTTGCAGCAGGTTGTAAATTAGGAGGCTGACAGCTTTCCTCATTCTGGTTAGATGTCCTTTTCTTGAGATATCAGACAGAAAAGTTATTTATAGAAATGTATATTATGGAATGAACATTTAAGACTTTTGACAGGTTATTTCTTAATTCATTTCCTTGATAAAAAGGACAGAGCTAAACGAAATTGACAACACCATATAAATTTGTAGTCTTGCAAAGCAAAATGCCGTTGTTAACATATAATTAATGTTCTGAGTGTACATATCATTATACAGGAGAAAACTGCTACCTTGACAAATCTGTCCATTGGGCCATTACTTGTGGGCCTCAACTTTGGTCCCATTTTTAATGTGTTGCTTCTGGCTGAATTTTAAGGATGCAGAAGATGAAGATGATGATGGTGTGGGATACTACCCTGAGGAAAAGGCGAAGAAATATGGTTAATTTCAAATGACTTAGAGTCAGAGGTGGGGTTTTTTTGGTCCATCTGCCGCTGTGGTTCGTGGATTCTAAAATCTACCAGCAACTCAATAGATTAGCATTGTTTTTCTGTTTTGTTTTTTTTGTTTGTTTTTTTGTGGTTTCTGGTGCTTATTTCCAACCCTGCTTTACAGTACACATTGAGTCATCACTTAATGTATCCGCACCAATATGACATTTACTGCAATTCAAAACAAAACAAATGTAAGGTGGTCAGCACTATTCATGCATGCTAGGATGTGGCATGATGCCATCTCATTATCCAACAAGTGTGTGCATGTCTTGTTGTTGTTGGAAAGGACACATATCCTCCTCACTCCAATGCCACAAAACTAAACTTACAAAATGACATGTAGGCTATGCAAATACTTATTTTCATACATTAATACAAGAAAGGTATAGCATACAACCAAACGAAGAACACTCCATACAATACATATTCATTGTTAGGCCACATTATTCAGTAAACACCTGATGTTACTCCTTTTAATTCTGTATTTTTTATAACATTTTTGTTTTTACATTTTTTTTATATTCTCGCGTCAAATACCAGGCACTGATCTGTCGTTACTTGCTAACATTTCTTTCCCAGATGTGCTACATAGCGGTTCTGCGCCTGCTCACAGTACCGTTATGACGTGGATTGAGGTTTGTTGAGACATGCTACCTCTGAAATCTCAAATTAAGATGTTAAAATTGAGAATAAAATATGTCCCTCATATTCTTACAGTACACTTCTTGCTGGGGTACTGCTATCCATTCGCACTAAGCTAAGTGAGCACTTTAACTCGGCATGAATCAGCAAAACAAAGTCGACTTCATCATGTAACACGTTATATAATTTAGCTAAGTTAGCTTATTTAAGGACACCGTTACTATGACACATAAGAACCATACCTATTCGTTTCGTCATTTGTCACAGCTTCACAAAAAGTGGTAAATAAACACCATCTTTGAAGGGACGAGCGTCGTGTCGAACAATTCTTCCGCCTTTTTTTTCTTCCGCCTTTTGAATATCCCGCCAGCGAGACCGACTGCGTTCGTTATCCTATGTCTAAGGTTATCCTCAGAGATATCTGTTATCCTCCCCTCCGCGTGTCACCGTTTTAAAAATCCCCGTCGCTACGTGGAACTAGTCTCACTTTACCAGACCTTTCTCGAGACTTGGTTTTAAGACTGAGCGTGTAACAACGGCAAAAATATCAAAGTTAGCAACCTACACGCTAAAATATCTTTTTATGTTTTATGTGGCGCTTTCCTTTGCGGGGATTCAGGCAGTTTAATGCCAGGGTGCAAGTGTTCCACCAGAACAAGTTCCCCTCCGACACTGTTTTGCAGGGCACCGTTGTTACGTCATAACCGCCAAAGACGATTGTGATTGGTTCAAATCTGACACAGCGCTTATGTTCAAACTTGTGTGGAAGAAAGCCCGGCTGTGCTTCACATTCACAGTTTACACATAGAAAACCTTCTTTTGTTGCTTTCTACAGTGAGGTCAAGCAGTACATCGATTCCATTAAATTTTCCCTTAATCAAAAGGCAATTAAAACCATTCATATTTGTGATCATTTTAATATTTTCTTGTAAACTCTTATCCCCCCTGGCATATGTTATATATGACATATGTGTGTAATAATGTTGAAGATTTGCATTCTGTAAACTTATGTGTTAAATAAATTTATAAAAAATCATCATCTGTGTTCATGTTTAATGGGTAGTGTTTAATTTCTGCTAAAATGTGATTACAATATTTATAAGTTACCTGTAAAGTTAACACATTTCAATAAACAAGCTTGTCTGGCCTGGAAAATGACATACAAACACCATTTTCACCAATTAATTACATTTGGTAAAAAGATATTAAATATAAAAGGAAATATATTATTGGAAATGGGTTGACAGTGTTATTATGTTGATTAGACAACCTGTTAATACTGAGGGGCAGACACTGACAAATAATTAATCTCCAAATTCAGCTCTCCAGTTGCGCCCACAGGCAGTAGTTATTGATGCTTTGCCAAGAAAGGTGCTGAGGTTCAGCAATTGCGGATTCAGTCATCGGCTATCTAGCAGAGGTATATTCATCTGAGAAGTTGAAGTTACCAAGAATAAATCTATCAAGAAATACATCAGGAATCACATACAAGCTGTAACTCTGCCCCCATTAAGGTTTTCTTGGGCATCGCTTTATGATGAAATTAACTGTCACAAAGTGTGGCTGACTGGAGACAAATTCTGTCTTAATAATAAAGTTAAAGAAGTTTCCTGTACAATGTTGCATCCTATATATCCAGCATAGAAAAACATTGGAGAGATTTAGACGTCATACTGAATATTCTTGTACTTTCTGTGAATTAGAAGAAGAAATAATGTGCCATTTGTTCTATCACTGTAAATGAATACCAGAATATTTTGGGTGGATGTTTAACTTCGTGTTCATGTCTGTTTTAAACCAACAAAAAGAAAAAAAATGATTTACTCTGCAAGTAAGTCTTCATCTATGAAACCCTGCAATAAAAAATGTGTGAATGAATGATGGAAATGTACACCAGTAGTGAATAAGAGATATGGAGAGGTTACGTAACATGTAATAACAATGCTATAGCATGTTATATGACAGTTTAGTATGACACTCACTAGCTGATATTTTCCCCCCATCAGAGCAGAAAAACTGCAGTTACTGAACCACATCAGTATTTGGTGTACAGAGCAGTATGGATATACTGTGCCTCTTATGTAATCTATAATTCCACATGAAAATATGAATGGTAGCAAAATCAGTGTCAAGAGATGTTCAAGGTGAGAAATTCTCTCATTCGTACATTTATGCTGTCGATAAGAGCAAAGAATACACAATCAAAATCCAAGTATCAAAAAAAAAAAACACTTTATTGGATACTGTAAAATCCTCATTATTTATTTGTTCGTTTCATTTCTTTATTTATACAGGAAATGAATTAAATGTACCATTGTGTGTTACAGTTCAAACTGGCCTGACTCAGTTAAAAACTGGTTTGTAGCAGGTTCCTGTTTTGCCACAAAAACACATTACAATATAAAGTATAAACAGAAACAATCAGCAGAGGCAAAACAACAAAACATAGGCAGCTACATAGACATTGCAGAGTAGCGGACTGAAATGGAGTGAGTAAAATGGGATATGGGATTTAAATCAGTGGTTGCAGGTCCATCCTTCCATCAGATAGTGTTTAAATGTGTTTGAAATGTGTAAAAGACAGTATTGCTCTGATGTAGTGTGGGATCTAGTTCCAAAACTTAGTGTGATTGTGACAAAATGATCTCTGACCGTAACTGTAATTGTAAGGTGGTAGAGGAATAAGTGCATGCGAGACTGATCTAGTCGTTGCTGTCTTGTGTTGTGACTTGGAAGTAGTGCAGTAAGTGTGGGATTGGAGATATTGTTCAGGATCTGAAAATAGAATTTAATGGCTGGATTATTTGTGTAGTTTTGAAAAGTTAGAGGGTTAGAGCGGGAGAGTGCGATGCAGTTATAACTGGGGTTTTTTTCACGACGTAATTTCCTTTATCTTAAAACTGATTGACTATGGTTCATTGGTGTTCATTATGTCTTTAGTTTCTGATAATGACTTTGGTTGTTCTTTTATCTCAGACATGTGTTAGGATGTTACATATCTCATATCATTTTGGCGGAAACTTCTGCCTTCCTCAGAAGTGTCACTTGATGGTGGTTGTGACATGTCTTTATCAGCTGATCTGTCAATCAGCTGATGTTAGGGAGGCGTGATCGTCCTGTCAGTTTTGACGGGACGAGGGGGCATACATGCTCTCCCACACCTGGAGCAGCGTCCTGGAGAGGCGGCGGACAGACAGCAGGTGACGTGATTGTCCCGTCAAAAGTGACAGGATAGTCACGCCTCCCTAATATCAGCTGATTGACAGATCAGCTGATAAAGATGCGTCACAACCACCATCAAGTGACACTTCTAAGGAACTCACACTGTATCTTCTGTCAGCACTTAGACTGTGTAAGCTTCATCAATGTCCATTGGGACAGGTTCCTCTCTCTGAGAGAAGAATTTAAAGAATGTCTTCAGACTCTCGTCACCTGTGGCCAGTGAATTGTTGACTGCATTTTTAAATGCTGTGAGATTTCTGCTCTCAACCACTTTCTTTAAACTGGTCATGGTGTTTTGGTGTCGTGGATTACCGCAAGCCAGGTACTCTCTTAACACATCGAACCTTCCTCTTTCCACCATTTGGAGAATGATGCGTTCGTTAACGAAGGACAAAGGATGGGCAAACTCTATGACACTCTGCCTTTCACCTCTTGCATTGCGGTAGGAATATCCGCCTGAATGCATTGCAACCACATTGCAGTGCTCATCAAAGACTGGAGAGCCAGATGAGCCAAAATAAAAGCAAGACTCGTAAGTCAGAGCCTGTCTGATATATTGCACATCTTCTGTCACATCCTCAAAGAACTGCTGAGTAATCATCTGAATGGGCTGCTGGTTCTCACTGTAGTGATGGTTTTCCGGCAGAACACCATCTGGATTTTCACTGTGATGCCTCTCTACAACCTGGTTTCGGTTTACAGTCGGAATAATCAAGCATGGATCTATCTTTTTCACACCACCATCAGGATGCCCAATAATGCAGATCCCACCACTTTGGGGAAGAAATCCAAAGAGCTTTAACAGAGCATCAGGTAATGTCTGATCAGCAAAGACCCTCAACAACGCCCAGTCACACTCGTAGCTTGACACAACAGAACCGTATTCAAATCCAACGACCTCTTCCACTGCAGCTACTGACTCCAAGGGGTTTAGACTTTCAAAAGAGAAATGGACAGTGACTCTCTCATTAAGTTGCCATGTGTACTCATTATAAATGCCTTTAACTACATGAGCATTTGTGAGGACAAAATTGCCAAATAGGAGAAAACCACTTCCTTCTGGTCTGTTATTTATTCTGACCTGGCAAACAGAGTTACTGAGATCCATCAGTGTCTTCATTGTTTTCACTTCCCTGCATGTTTGAGCGTTCTTTCCAAACTCTACGCGGAAGAGATTCTGGATACGAGAGAGCTTAGATCCTTGCAGCGTTTTCTTTCCTTTCACTACATCTTGAAACTGAGAAGACAGGTGGCACTGCGTCTTTTTTGAATTGGGAATTTCATGCAATATGATTTCTGGTGCCATGTTACCATTTAGCTTTGGTTTCTTTTTTGGTATGATGTCGTTCACTGACTCAGCTGTGGTGGTTGGCTGCTTTGAAGGATCTGGGTTTCCATTACAGTCAGATATCTCAGCTTCATTTTGCATCACGTAAGCATCATCCTGACTGTCGGGCTGACTTTCTGGTGGATTAGACTTATTGAGCAATATGATCTTGAAAGTTTCACCATCAAGATCATCAACAAAGCTGGACATCCCAGTGTTTGCGTCAGTGCTCGTGTGAGAGAGCACACAGTTCTTCTTAAATACAAGATTGTTTAAACGACCATCTCTTCTCAGAGCTTTCCTCACTTTTTCGCCTTTGTATGCATAAACAGTCATTTCACTAAAGTCTGTTTTTAGTGCCGGGTTTCTCATGATATTCACTACTTTTTTACCTCCCTTTGTCCGTACATGAAACATCACAAGCTCGCCAGATGGTCTCTTTCTTTGAGGACGAACAGAACCACCAACCGATTGCTTTGGATGGTCTACAGCTTTGATAAACTTGACAGTCAGTGGATCTTTTTCAGTCAAGCTACAGGGAAAGTGTGAAGTGATAGCTTTTCCATCTCTTACTATAACAAGCTCATTGTTTTTGTTCTTTTCTGCAATTCTTCTAAACTCTGAATTTCTCTTCAGCAAGTCCTCGACAGTTCCTCCTTTACCGCGCTCTTTGAAATTCTTGTCACCCCAGCACCAGTGGAGAGAATAGCTTTCATCTGACTCCTCTTCCTAGAAATGAAACAAAATTAAGTCTCACTTCATTGAATCAAATCAAAACATTTTATTTCCTGTTAAAACCATACCACTCTCAAACATCCATCCGTTAGCTATACCTGTTTATCCAGAGGCTTGCGAGGGACTGGAGCCGATGCCTGCGGACTCTGGGTGAGAGGTGAGGTACTCCCTGCAGGGGTCGCCAGTTT